GTATATACCATACGAGGGCGCACTGCCAATCGGCCTTGTCAAAATTTCCCGGCGGAAATTCCCATCGACCAAAATAAGAAATTATTGCGAAGCAAGTTCACAAAGATAATAATATCTAGGCATTGATCGGTATAATAGCGGACTGATCAGGCATACCAACAGGTTTCAGGTATACAGTACATTTTATTACCTTTTTTATAGCGTACCGGTAAGGTAAGTGTTATTATAGGCCTGTCAATTTAGTAGCCTTTTAGCATTTAGTATAATAGGCCTTATAGGCCTATCCATTGCCTATATCAAGGAGACATGGCCTACATTAACTTTTATTTACTAGCCTAGTGTAGAATATATATCTTTTTAGGTTATAATTAACTAGCCTATTCATTGATCATGAATTTAACCTAGTATTGCTTAGAGACAATAACATGATTATGCTATGTCAAGGGAGGCGGGATGACCCAGCACCCCCGGCAGCAGCTAAATCTTAAAGTGTAAAATCTTTACCCCGGTGAAAACAGATTTTGAAAATGGCTAAAACTCCGGAGCTTCTTGTGTTTTAAATATGCAGCTCTGTCGTAACGGAAATTCCCAGTAACTGTCATGCTAACTACGTAGGCCCTATGTATGTATGTTCTAGTATTATGGTGACATACGGATGCCTTCACTTCACATCGGATCCAAACCTAAATTCGGACTGCGTTTCCGATGCGCTGAATTTCGCGTTGATATCTTACATACCGTAAATTCGATTTTCTGGTCGGTTCGGTTAGGATTTCCGATCCAAAAATTCGGTTCGGATTAAATGTGAAATCAGCTGTAGAGTAAAAACTTAATCTGATAAGACCTATTAGTTTTAACCTTTGATATGGGTGTCACTATCTGAAGTACTGATATTTCCTAATATAATGCCCGCGATGATCGATCAATACCCATCCAATCAGAGGCCTCGATAAATACACGGAACAAATTACATAATTTATAATGTTGAGGCCTAACAACGTTTCAGAATACAAAAAAGAAAACGTTGAACTTACAAGATTTACACATCAAAAATACACTCATATAAATAAAAATAATCACAATAAGATGTGATTTAAAAGTATAACATAAATTAGATGGAAGAAGGTATTATCCCGAGAAGATGAAGATCTTGTGATGGACATGCCTTAAGTCAATAAAAATATGATAAAGAAAATAATAAATAACAAAGAACCCAAATACAAATAAGTGAAAAGTCAAATAGAGAAATAAATAAATAAATAACTAGAATAAACAACTGAAGTTCATGTTAAAGCAGCACATCGAATCATGACCGAGGACAACTAATTTAATAGTATGACATGAGGTGTAATTTTATTTTTTTGGAAATTATGTTCTTAGAGAAACAGCATTTAAAATTTGGGGAGGGAGATTGTTCATCAGGGCCCGAGTATCCGAATATGGTGTTGAAAATAATTAGTGTTATAGGTAGGTTGTGAATATGAATTCTAGATCGAGTGGGGTAATTGGGAATAATGGTTGTGACTAAATTCGAAGATGTATCGCTCTTGTGTGTTTCTACTTTTATTTGTTTCTGAAGACTTTCGATGCTACGTATATATTTAATTATAAATGTTACCAGTTATGAATTGTAACTTTTTTTCTCCCATATTTTTCAACTGAATCGCTGCTCTTTTAGTCTACTTTAAATAAAATTCTTTCTCTTTCAGTTTAGTATATGATTGACTTTTTTGATAAAATATCTAATGATTGTTGTATTCAATTTATAAATTAATAAATAATTCTTTCTTATAGCCTACCTAATGTTAATTGAAGGTGATATGTCATAAATAAAGGCTTCCTTTCCTATATTTAATAATAATATAGACTTAAACAAAATAAATTTGAAAAAAATACTGGTCGGTACGTAAGTTTGTTCAACTGAGAATTATGAAGAGGTTTCTTCGCCAATTAACGGACGTTTAAAAAATTCACCTACCTGATTTGCATACCTCTTTAAATGGACCTTCCGCTAAGCCCCGCCCCTTGGATATTGTTGCTAAGGTCCCACAAAACTACGGTATACAACTGCGTACATTGCCCTGTTCTGATTCGTCAGTTTTTAGGTTTGATTGACACTCTGGAAAGGTCCGTTGTCAATAACAGCAATTTAAGGATTTTTTCAGTAAAACGCCCGTAAACTATTAAATACTTTTTTTTCATGTGACTCATTGAAAGTTGGTTCTTTCGAATTTTTCTTTGATTGGGTAGCAGCATTATATTTGATTTGTAATAATTGGCGTGCTGGGTTTATTTACGATAATTCGCTTTAATAAGCTAAAGATAAAAATAAAAACTAGGTCGACTTTAGAAACGGCCCAAGATTCAATGGTGTAGGAATAAAAC